AGAGCAGGCGTCGTGTCCTCTCCACCAAAAGGCACCAAGTATTCAGCATCGGTCTGCGCAGACGTCAAGACAGCAAGCAAGTAAACATCTTAGGTCATGAGCAGAGGACTCTGTCTGTGTAGGATGGCCTCTTGGATCTGCGTGGCAGTGGACTCGACGCCGAATGTTTTTGGAGGAACAAAATCCTGCGCCCGAGATGTGCAATGGGGTGGTTTATGCAGGAACCAAGTGAAACACTCTGGATGGAGGAAGGAACGAACTTTGCCAGACGAAGGCTCGGACCACCTAGACATTCCGGACAAGAATGCACGTCATAACAGCTTTTTTGGTGCAGTTTACACTATTTGGCGGACGAGGACACGCCCGTGGCCATGTTGTTGCCTGATGAAAACACAGCTCCTGCAAGAACGAAATTGTGCCTTCTTAGCCTGTTATTGCTCGCAAGTGTTGTGGGTGTTGAAAAGTACGCAGTACGCATGGGGTCACAAATGGCTGGGGCTCAGGGTTTGGGATTGTCTTGTTCCCAAGATTGTCGGGTTTCAATGTGTGTGTTGCCTGTGATCTCCTCTGGCTGTTCTTAGACTCTCACCTCGAGTAGACAACTGCTTTCTCTTCAATCACCGTCGGCTACTCAGGCCGCAGAAGGATGTTCAAATTAAATGTCGCCGCTAGCTTGCGGTGTCGTTTGCCAACAGAAACTCACGATGCTTCTTAGCGCTCCGCTGCTCCATCTCCGCAAGTCTACCTGACTATTACTCCGGCTTGCCAGTCCTGTGCAGATGGCATAACCGTCCATATCATGGAGAACTTCCTTGCAGAAGTACCGTCAGGGATGATCACATCAAGCTTCCCACACTTGAAACACATTGTCAACTTGCCAGCTGCATGCGTATAGCAGAAGCAACCCCTATACTGGAGTGCAAGTAAGGCATGGATTCTGTCTTGAAATCTGAGAAGTTCTTTACATGGTGGCGAGAAAGAACAGGCCTGCGGTTCCATCGCTCATCGCCACCTGGCTCCTCAAAGCTTTAATCAGAATATCTATCGATGTATCTATCGATGTATCTATCCATCTATCTAACTATCTATCGCCGCCGAGGAGCAGCAGCAGCAGCAGCAGCAGCACCAGCAGCAGCAGCAGCAGCGGCGAAAGGCAAGGCGAAAAAACGAGAGGCAGGGAGGGGGCCAGCGCGGGGAGGACAACGGAGGAACTGGCAAAGCCAGGTCCGCATGAGGGAAAGCAAAACACCCAGCCCTCCAGAAAACTCCACAACTACTGCCATAGCTACTGCAATCTCCGCCAAAAAGCAATAGCCACTGCCCGAAAGCAAAGCAGCCCCGCTGAGTCACAACCAAACCAATCATCTGTCGCATCCAGCAAACACCACACGACGTGACGAGAAGCAGGAGGCCAGGTTTCGGAGCTCCTGAATCGCCCTCGGCTGGATGTCTGGCAGCTCGGGTCCCCGTGGCCTCAGCTTGCAATCATGCTGTCGGCCACAAGCCCGCGTGGATTCCTAAGGTGCGGGCCTTCTGTACAAAGTGAAGACATCCAGGCCCTGACAGCCCAGGAACCGGCAACATACCACGTTTTGCGGAGCCTATGCTGACAGAGCGGGCGCCGATTCAACCACATGGCTGCTCACAACGAGTGGCTTCAAAAGACCAACGTGATTTGGACCACCGGAAGTCTTGAGGCGCCATCGAACAGCCCAGCCTCAAAGAAGCTATGCTTGGCTGTCCCCTGCACGGGAAGCCTCTTGGCAAGATCCGCCTGAGTCGACACAACTTGCTGAACGGCGATCAATTAGCATGGGTCGAGTGCCCCGGACCTCCAGCAACGCTCGCGTCAGGGACTGTGCCGGCACAGATAAGGTGTCTGTCAGCCCACCTGGCACCGACGTGCAAGTCACAAAACATGCTTTAAACGGGGTCGCGCTGAGGAGTGCTCACACTGCCCAGCGAGCACTTCGTCTGCTGCTCGCATGTGACACAAAACATCAGTCACCACAGCTTTTCTCTACTGGTGAGCGCAGAGGGTGGAGGGGTACCGACGATCATTTTCAGATCGCTGCCCAAATCGCTGGGTCTGGAACAGCACAGCAACAAGCTGGAGTGCCTCTGGCCAAGCACCAGAATCTCAGAAAGAGGCTGCAACGCAGGACACGAAACTAGGCTGTCACCTCTCCCAGTCCTGGTTTATCGGATTCGTCTTCATAGCTCATCTAAAGAAGAGGGACCAAACGGTAAACTCCAACAAGCCAACGTACGAGTATTCCAGACTGGCATATGGCATAGCGCCAGAGCAAGTCCAAAAGCGCGGCAGACCACAGCACGTCACTCACAGTGATTTACCGCACCAAAAGCAACAGCACGATGCCTGCCTTGGACTGGCAAGGCTTACGCACGGGACAGCGCGATGTTGAACACCACAAAGTGCAACTTAGAGTAGAACAGACGGACGAAGCCCAACCGCACGCGCAAACCCGACATGAAACACGTCTCTGAAAATGTTTTCGCCAGATCGGCCTCGAGACGGGAGTGCTCAATGCCTGGACGAGCCCGCGATCGGGCAAGTGGGACGATGCCAAAAGCGTGGTCTTAAAGGTTGCCGGCGACGACCCGTAGACTATCCGGCCACCTAGGCGAGACTTGCCCGTTCAGACTCTGCCTTGCTTAGAGCTTACTGGGGAGGACCGGGCGTGCCGGGATACAGTCTTCTTGCATCAAGACGTGCTAAACGTTGCCAGGATGCGAGCTTTCAAGCAATAGAAGCCGCACTCTAAACACATTCGGTCTTATGGCTCCTATAGCACACCCTACCGGTCCGTCCTGCAAAAAAGTAACCTGCACGATGCTTAGAGGGAGGGAGATGGTACCAGTGATGCCGAAAAACGCCGAGAGGTGACAGCCGTGGTCCTGGTATCAGCCATTTAGCCATCGCAAGCGATTATGCTTGAGAGCGTGAAAATGTGAAAAGCATCTGTCAGCAACACCGCCGGCTCAATGGGACCCACAGGTTGCAATCAAGACATCAGGGACTCGCGAGCCACCTGCGCGCAGCATGATTAGGAATTTAGGGCAACTGGTTTTAGATACCTGGGTGAACTGCATGAGTGACAAAGACAAAACGGCTCTAACAACCATCGCTACCTCACCGTCTGGATGAGGGCACGTCCTTCAACTCTAACCCAAAACGAGTTAAAACCCGACCTCACAAGTCGTGCCTGGAGGGTTCACAAGCTTCAGCGGAGACGGACAAAAAAGCCAAACGATGGTCGTGCCCTCGACTCGATGCAAAAACTACCGACTGAAACGGGGTACCCTGTTTCAGGCGGTCGAAGATCCCCACTGCCCACCCGCAAGGCTTCAAATCCGAAGCCGCAACTTCTGCCATCAAGAACACCATGCGCTTGTTTGAGTCTCCTGGCGACATGCTACGCTTGTAGGGCTTCATCTACGCCCCTCCTGGTCCACTGTTTAGCTTAAGCTTTTGGAAGCCCCAGTTCGGGGAGTCTCTCCGGTTTTGCCTCGATGTTGAAAGGAGAGCTGCGGTTTATGTGATGAGTGGAGCAGCTTCGCCGCAGTGCACGAAGTTGGAATGTGGCAAAAACTTCACTGACAACAGTTCGTGCGAAGTAGAAATGGGCCTCAACCCGCAAGACATCACCATCATCATGATCATCATCATCTTCATCATCATCATCGTCATCATCTTGACGACAATCATCATCATGATCATCATCCCCAGCCTCATCCCAGCGCCCCGGGGCCCCCGCCCGCCCACTCACTCCAGCTCCAAAACCAAATCACATGTCTGTCTGCATACATATACTTACGACACATGTGAAACCACACTGTCATCGAAAGCAAAAAAGTATGCGCCTAAAACAAGCCCCTGCATCGTTTCAGGAAGGTTGGCCTCTGACATGTGAACACAACTGCTCATGCAAAAGAAGAAGTGTAAGTGCCAGCGGCCTTTATTATGCACAGACCAAGAACAAAAAAGAATGCAAGAGTGCCAAGCATGCTATTGCGTTTATCGTGCGCAGTTGCTTGCGGTTCTCGAAGAAGTGAACAAATGGGGTGCATAAGAATGCCCTTCTGCCAGTACTTTCAACGGGTGAGTCCCACATTGGAAGCGAGCCCGCTCCGAGGGCTTTAAGTTGGCTGTTCTAGGTAGCCCACGATCTCGCGATCGGACTCAGAGGAAGGCTGGTTCAGGTCGAACTTTCCCAAGGAAGGCAAGGCCGTATCGTGATGTATCGTAGCTACAGATGCTCGTTCCTAGGTCCTAGGATCAACGAAGACTGATCCTTGCTAGGTGCTGTTCCCTACGTACAGATAGCTGGGCATTGCCTGCCTTCTTGGATTCAAGCTCCTTCTGCTGCCTGCCGTCAGAATGTCTCTCAGACCAAGTTTTCATACTGGACACGACTAACTCTAGGGAAATTGCCCTCGGCTCAGTGGGCCTCTATGGTATCAGCTGGAGGGGAGCTCTACCCTCGGACAAATGTCATGGGCACGTGTGTGGGCCTGTCAGAAACAGAATGGGGACTGAGTGGGCTTGGGTTTAGGACTAGGGCCGAAACGGATTCTCGGAGGACCGCTCCCCAGTGACCCCCTACCTGCTACACCTTGCATGGCATCGCCTGTGCAGCGACATCCGTCGCGTTGTCAATCTTTGCATCTTTCCGAAAGCCTCAAGAGCCAAGAGCAACAACACTCGATGCTTAGGCTCCGTTGCCGCCCCTGATGCTGGGGGCGAGGGTCTTCGAAGAACCCGATGAAACGACGCGATTCGTGGACGACGATTGAATGCTAGGTGTTCAACTCGAAAAAAAATGCACCCATACGCACACGATCAAAACCCCTAAACTCGAAGACTCTGATATACTCTGATCATCTGATCCATGCCCGCCCTTCCCCCCCCCCTGCTCTTCCCCCTGCCCCCTCCCCTCCCCACACACACACACACACACACACACACACGCAAAACTTCACTTCTCGAGAATGGGAGCCGTCATCTTCAAGCTTTCGACGTCGGTCTCGTGCGACAACTTCTGGATGGCCATAAGGCACGCCTTAAGTACGTGACAGTGCAGTTGATGCCAGAGCCAAGCCCTTGGAAGAAGTTGGCATGATCTGACGTTCTAAGGGACGGTTTGGGCTTCAGGGTTTGTTTAAGATGGCTTCGGACGCGCCCTCATCTTGCTGCGTGGGCACCTCGATCTTGGCATCCACTCGACGCGTTGTGCTGAGCACCTGGCCAGACAACAGTGCACAGCTCAGCTCAGCTGAGCTGCTGCAGCCTTCGGCTTGGGGATCCGATTCCGCAGTCATGGTGCCCTCCGGAACTGTATAACCAGTCTCTCTAGACACAGTAGCACTGGCAGAGGCATGTGTTGATCGTCGTAGCACTGTCGTAGAGGAAAAAAATCCGGGAGCCACGTGATTTTACATATCACTCACCTTGCCGGCCTCTGGGAATGTTCAGGGACTACGCAACCTACGGTACTCGGTACGCAAGTAACTGCCGAGGAGGGCTTCTGCAGCAACAAGAACTTGACCTCGCTGCCCCAGCTTCCAGGCCCGTACTGCGCGGTCTTTCAAAGTCCTCAAGCCTGAAGCCTAAAGGGCTCACATCCTGTGATCCTTGAAGTCGTGAGCCTTCCCTCCCCCCTCCGCCTGAGCCAAGTCCAGGCTCTTGGCCACGCCTCTTAGGCGAATGGCACCGTCCAGAAACTCAGCCACCGTGATGGCTCCATCACCTTCGGACTTAAGGGTTAAAGGCTTTAAGGCTTCAAGGTTTCACAGCTTGAGGAGTTCAGGGCCCTTTGACGACCGCTTCTTGTTCTTGGCGTTCCCTTGGCGGTTCGGAGAATACGTACCAGGTTACAGCGACGCGTTGTTATAAATCTGAGCAACCGTCATCGATCATGTGGAAGAGGTTCACCTCGGCTTCAAGATGCCGCGTCCGGAGGGAACACCCAAACCTGCAAACCCCCAAGCCCTAGCCCCCATGAGTGCGGCCCCATTGCAAGGTCGAACGTCTCCAGCTCCAGGGTCGCCATCCAGGATCGCAACTCTGGCTTCCGAAGGACCTCGCTGAACTCCTGCATTTGACTAGAGAAGGACATCAGGGTCCTGTGCGTGGGCCGGTTTTGGGCTCTAGACTTGAAACTGCGAGTAGGTTCACTGGGCCACTAGAAGTGCTGCTTTGGTTTCATGAAGCGCCGGAGGGTGCTACTTCAGCAGCCTCGTTTTTTCATGTCTTCTCCCTCCTCTCTTTCTTCTTCCGTGAATCGTAACAAGATAATAAAAGCTACCAGAAGAGCGGCACAGCCAGGGCTTCGAAGCACAAGCACGGGACCAAAAACACGAAGACATCATTCGGGTTTAACGTCTTCGTCTGATGTACCTTATAGATCCAAGCGCTTGGGCGGGAACGGAAGTCGGAAGCTGTGTGACAGATGTGAGAAGGCCAAAAGGTCGGAAAAAGGACGGCAGGCGGAATTTTAGCTCTTTTCTGCATCTCGGGCACTATGAGACTGCGCAGGGGACGGCTCGAACTGTTTGACAGATTGCCTCGGGCCGTTTGGGCATCACAGCAGCTTCGCCTGCGTCACGTAGCGGTTTTCGGACATGACCGCGATGAAAATGCACAAATATTGCTGCCGTGATTCTCTACGGACCACCTGTTACTGAAAAAATGCTCGTGGTTGATCTGGCATCTGATGAGGCGTGGCACTTGCAACTAGGGAATCGGAGGCCTCCGAGCGGGCAATGAGGAACAAACTCGTGAAGTATTAGGGAACCAAACGTGCCTTAGCAGGGAAGTGCCACAAAAATGCGGAGCCCGGCCCAGCAAATGCAGGAAATTGATTCCCAAGCAAGAATCGTCTGTGCGAAAACGCGGTGACGAAAGATCTGTGCAGCAGAGCACTAGCAGAGCACAGGAAGTTTTGTGCACACTCACTGCCCATTTTGTAACCCATTCAGGGTATGCGGCATTTCGAACGCGGATGCTTTCCTCATAGCTCGATTAGCCCTAGCTCCTTCTGCCAGCCCTTCTTCAATTTAACTTGCCTACTCTCGATCGTTTGTACAAATTAGTACAGTAGCCTTTCTATCCCCCTTTATCGTAATTTTCATACACGTCTGAGCCCGTCTTTGTGGGTTAACCGGTTAACCCATTTTATGAAGACAGATGTTTGCGCAAGGTTTGGCCGTGAAAAGGGAATGTTTAGGGTTTAAGTCTGGTCTATGGGGTCTAGTCTAGTGTGCTGTGCCTCATGTCTTTCAGCGAAGATCGCCCCCACAATGCAACCACTGTCCTTCCACGTCAAGAAGCCGGTGTGGTCTGTGTCCAACTTGTCGAAAAACTCTCCTGTAGAGCACTGTTCTTTGTAGCCCCTTTGGCCAAGCCCCTGTTTGGGAGTGTTGTCAGGCCTCTTAAGTCCCCTATCACTGCATGCGACCCTGGGCCCTCTGGAACTAACCGGTGTGGCGACAGGCGTGGCGACTCCGATGTAGGGCAACCGCTTGTTGCAGGACTTCAAAAGAAAATCAGGTTTGGCAGCTAGCAGAAGAAGTCACAGGACCCGGCCAACGCGGTACGCAAAATGCTCCAGATCCCGAGCGCTGCCTAGAACTTCCAGGACTGACCACTTTCTTGTGAAGCAAGGGAGTAGGGTCTTAAGGCTTGCTGCTTTAGTCACTGTACTGAGTCGTGATCCTCCACCTTTCTCAGGCTCTTCAGGGCGAAGGCGGCTCAGCCGCGGCCGTCTGATTCGATTCGTTTGTACAGGCCTTGAGCCAAGAGCCAGTGAGCTCCATCGTGGATTTTCCACGCAAGCCACGAGCATCGGTCTTCCGAGGGCCTAAGTCGCGAGATTTTCTGGCAACTGTTCAGATAATCATTGGGTTAAGCCGCGAGTGAAGCTGTGGCTGAGCGATCTGAGTTGTTTCTCTTTGGCCGCTGCTTGGAGCAGTTGCTTGGCAATCCGCAAGAACTGCGGGAAGTTGACCACCATGTTCTTGTCTTGTTCGGGCTTTGCCTTGGACACCCCGTTCAAGAGCTGCACGGCTTCACCCTTGACGGCATTCACTGAGCCCAATGCCGGGCTCCTCTCGGTCAGCGGTAATGCCCGACGCAGGTCGGACAAGGACAGGAGCTGCCCAACGGAAACAATTCCCTCCCGATACTCCAGGCTCTCCAGGAAAAGCTGTCGGAAGTCCTCGACCTCTTGAACGGAGAAGCCTGTGTCTCGGATGGCCAGCTGTTCCCGCAAGGCATAATCCTTCACAAAAAGGTCGACGAAGAAGCGCATGTGGCGTAGGAAGGCCTTGAAGCTGATGGGCGTCTTGCGCTCCAGATCCCGAAGGAGCTCGCTCAAGGAAGCCTGCTCTACGTCCGTGTGACATGCGTATCTGAGACACGTATTCTTTAGCTTCTTCGGAGGCCTGCCTGGCGTCTGCGTGTTTCCATGAACTTTGGAGCTGTTGTACAGTGGGGGTCGTTCGGGACGTCTTTCAGATCTGGCACGTTTCGAAGCTCTAGCGACATGGGGATTGTCTGGCTTCCTGGAGTTACGTCCGGGTTGTTTTAAACCAGCATCCTTTTGGATCAGGAGCCCTTGGTACGCAACAAGGCAAAAGTACCTACGAAGGGGCGCCCCAGATGTAGAACACATGGGGATTCGAGCGGTTTTCCCAGCTGGCGCCTTTAGCGGCTCCACCACACCGAAGGTGAAGAGGGTCCTTGCCGCGTGGCCCACATCCTCCGCAGAGAGGCCCTGGTCCGGATCCCGGCGGCGGTTGCCCTTCGCAAGGCTGGCGAAGAGCTCCTTCAGCTGTCCCAGCTCCTCGTGTCTTGAGAGGGGAAAAAAGCTCTGTGCAGCCTAATGCGTATTACTGTAACTGGAGAGACATGATGGGGAATAACAGATCATAACAAATCTGGGGCGCCTTGTCGAAGCCTGCCGTCTCCCTCCTCTCCTGGGCCTTGGCCTTCCGCCGCTTCAGGCAGGTCCGTACAAAGCTCTCTGGTGAGAAGCCCCCACCTCCTTTGCGGAAGGCCGAGGCTAAGCCCAGCTCGAAGTTGTTGGCACTGCGCGCCTCCAGCTGGAGCTCTGCAAAGAGCAAGGCTGCTTGCTGGCTGCTGATCTCTTGTGTGCCGTGGTCTCTGCGGTAGACCTTCTGGTAATGCTCCGTGGCCTCCTCACGCTCCATGCGCAAGAGCTTCTTCACGTCTTGAAGCGTCAAGTGGCCTTCCGAGCACTGTGCTTTTCGTGCAAATCGATCCACCTCTTCGGGGGAGAGGTCATGGCCGAACCAGCTCAGAACCTTTTGGACATCTCGAGCACGGACGGAGCCATCACTTTCATATCGCTTGAAGGCCTGCTCGAGATCCTGCATCTCGGCCTGTGTCAAGCCTTCGCAGGTGCGGTATCTGTGAAGAAAATCCAGTGCGTCTTCGTAGCTGAGCTCAAGCCGCTTGGGGCCACCCTTGGCCTCCGAGACCTGCGCTGCAACCTCCAACACCACTTGCAAGTCGCAGTCGTAATTCAGGACCTTCAATGCACCTTCCAGCTCAGAAGGCGACAGACCGTTACGATCCTGATCTTGGTCCTCAAAAACTTGTTGGATCTCCTTCATCTCAACTTCACGCACCGCCTTCATGGCTTGCACGAACTCAGCGTACTCAAGGGTGCCTCGCCCGTCCACGTCAGCATCATGGAAAATGTCTTCCAAATCCTTCATCTTCAGCTGGTATCCGAGCCAGCCTTGCGTTCCCAGGAACTCCTGCAAATCCAGCACGCCATCGCCGGAGCCATCAAAGCGTTTAAAGGCCTTCTTCAGCTCCTCATGCTCGGACTCGGGGAAGCCGTCGGAGTCTGCTAGGAGCTTCATCAGTTGCTCGAACTCGTCGAAGGACAACTCGCCACTGTCGTCATAGTCCACCTTGCGCATAATCTCCCCAAGCAGGCTGGGCTGCACCACGAGACCCAGAGATCGCAAGACCTGCACAGAGAGCTGCAAGAACTCGCTTCAGAAGCACCGGCTGAGGCCGAGGCTCTGCACTCCGTTCCTTGCAAAGCGTTCCCTTCACAGGCTCGGATGCCAAACCCGCCTGCTAAGAAGGGGCAGTCAGAAAAAACTAAGCGGCAGATCCTCCTCAACCATCCATAAGTAGACAAGGCCAGTGTTGTTTCGAACTCCACCCCCACGTCTTAGCAACTTCGGAAGCCTTTTGGCTATGGGCAATAGGAACTGCAAGCAAGGCAACCACCCTCTATTTAACTCTATTTTCGCGGGCGAACGTTGTGAACGGATGCGTGGGCATGCAGAGCGAAACTTCAACAGCGACAAATACTTGACCAAAGTTAGTTGCCGGCTCTCTCTGTGCAACCTGCAAAGCCAACTCTTGCTAACAAACGGCTCTAACTTGGAGACTACTCAGACACGCCTCTTGCAGCTCTTCCGTACTGATCTGGTCGCTGTGGTCGACGTCGAACTTTTGAAAGGCCTCGAAGTATGCCTCTCTCTGCCGATTATCATATTCAGTCACAAGCTTCTCAAAATCCTCTGCGTCAATGAAGGAGACCATGGTCAAGCTCTCATAAATTTCCTCCAGCCAGTCGTTGTTGACATCCTTGAAGCCACAAAGTCGCAAGGCTCTTCGAAGGTCCTTCTTGTTCAACCGTCCGCCACGGCCGACCTGACGAAAGGCTGCCAGGATCAGCTGATCCAGCTGTGCCACCTGTGCATTGCTTGTAGATGTCTGTAGATATCGGGAATTATCGGGACGTAGGGGCGTATAGCACTAGCTAGCCCTAGATTTCTGGGCGCTGTCCAGAAACCTAACTCCACCCTCTGCAAGAACTCTAAAAACCACCTCTGGCTCGAAGGACTGCAGGACGGAGGCCAGCTCGTCCCCTCTCCGGAAGATGGCCTTCCGTGGGCTGCGCGGGTCCCGCTTCTTGCCTCTTCCACTCGCCAGACGTGCCAGGGAGAATCGCCGGTGGCTCTCCTCCTGGAGACCAAGGCTTTGAGGATCTTTGCTTGTTTGAAGTTCCAAAGATTGAGGGCTCAGATGAAGATCACGAAGGGTGCGTACGTCCGTATCAACAAGACAAGAGTGTCATGCCCGGTCCCCACCCCCCTTGTTCGAACTCCGGCGAATCTCCTGGCGCAGTGCTTGAGAGATCAGCTTGCCCACTTTCCGCGGATTTTTTGCCTTCTTTGCAGGACCCAGCGTGGCGAGGAGATGTCTCAGCGGCTTTTCGCCCTCTAAAGGAGGCCGAGCATGCCGTGGCAGCTTGCCTCTGACAGCTGCAAGCGTGGCGTCAAGCACCTGAATGCTCGAACACTGACGAAGTGCGGCACGGATCTCCTGCTTCAAGCGGAGCCGTGCCGTGGTGAGGTCCTCATCGTCCTCTTCAGCTGGCTTCCCTTTGGTTGAATCCAAGCGGGCAGTATCTGCAGATGACAGGGCCTCCAAGGTTCCTCGATAAGACGGAGGGATCTGAGGTGGGCTGCCAAGCGTGTCGTGGCAGTGCTGCGCGAAGCTCCTCCAGGGTCTCCGGCCGGCCGGCGGTGGTGGCAGGTAGCGGTTAAAGCGCAGAGGGGGCGACGGCGGCTCGTCCATGCAGGTGAAAAGTTAACATCACCGGAGAGAACAGAGCTTGCGCCGCTTGCGCATCACACATGCACAGAGGAGGATGTGGCCATCACGACAACCATCGCGACAATCCGTTCACTAACTCAGCCAAGACTCTCATCTTGGCGGCATAGGCTTGCTCTGATCCTCAGTCGGTGAGCCCGCTCGGCGAGGCCCGAGGATTGTGCGTTCCGTACAGCGGGAAATTACATGGAAGAGGGGTTCGTGCTTCTTAGCTTATCAGGAAACCCCCACGAGAGCAAGTTTCCCTACCAGGAGAACCTTTTGGGGAGACCCCACCCCGCCAACGGCGCCATCTGCCGGCTGCACAAGAGAAGTGATTCTCAAGTTCTGGCGCGGTCCCCCCCCCCCCCCCCTTGATGAAACGACAGTGCCAAGGAGCTGAGCCGTTGCTTTATGATCAGTTCCTGATCCGCCTGCAATTGGCGTCGACCCGCTATATAGGACATTGGCTTCAGGTGTGGCTTCAGACACGAGTACGAGATCGGCTTTGTTCCTTTGCCTGAGCCACCTTCATGGTTTGTTGGATGAAGACGGCGGACACCTTCGTTCGACGATCATTGCAGGAAGCACCCCCATACTAAACAGCCCGTTGAACACATCCCTGTGCTGCCAGGCAGCTACGTTCAAGACTGCAAAGCCCACCACACCTGGCACTCAACGAAAGCATCCATTTCGTTCTAGTTAAGTCCCAATGAAAGAGCAAGATACATCAAATCATGTGGTGAGGCACGTGAAAGATCTGACTGAAATCAGTACCCCCACCACTCCCCCTCCCCCCCCTCATTGTTAAGGAGGCATGAAACCGGAACCGGGTTTCTACTTGTCGGGGCTACTCCTCAAGGCACAAGAGAATCCCGGAGTCCAACCAAGTACTGATAATGTAATGGACCTAGTGAATATGTGAATTGTACTAATGCGGAAATGCTATACAAAAAATGAATCATAGTAACAATATAGCAAAATGACATAAAGCATTATCGTACGATGGTCTAATTATATCACGGAAAAATAGTACTCTACATAATATAGCACAAGAATGAGGGGATACAATGATAATGATAAGAAACATATTCCATCAATACAACCGTATAGTACATTTTCTGAAAAATGGTCTGTTCCCGATACCTACATCTAGGTGACTGCAAGGGCTGCGTTGCAAATGCATGTTGGCGGGTGCGCTTGGTTTTGGTACGTGAAAGGCTTTAGGATCTTTTTGATTCCTGAGGCCGATGTTCCTTGAGCGATCTCTCAGCCCCTGACATCGGTACACGACAAACACGTAGACGAACCAATCGCTCACGTTATCCACCTTGGAAGACGATCGCAAAAGTCATAAACAGGCACCGGGATGAGGAACTGTGTTTCAAGCGCATGGACAACTTCGATGCAGCTCGGGAACGAGGATTCTCGCCGGCGGAGCCCAATTTGCAAGCAAAACCTGAACTGAATGTGTGAGGACGATGGCGGCACCCTTGTACGGAGTAGCTGCCAGCAGCCACGGCAGAACTGAATCATCGTCAACAACATCATCATCATCATCATCATCATCGTCATCGTCATCATCATCATCGTCATCGTCATCGTCATCATCATCAGCATCACTAAATCACGACGGGGTTTGAAAACCGTGGTAGCACCGGCAGGAACCTTCCACGGTGTGGCGAACGGGGGTAAGTCATTGCCGCACCCGAACAGTCCTGACACGAGAAACCTGAACTACGAGGGATCAGCTTAAGCCCACCCAGGCGGCGAAAGTCACCCCAACCCCTGCGGCAGTCGGCGCTACAGCACAAAGAGTTACCGCTGCCGGTGTAGTGTGGACCCAACAACAAGGATGTTGAGGGAGCATTGCGAACGAAAGCTACTACTCAGGAATTGCAGCTGCCGGAAAGGGAAATCTGTGGAGGATGCAGGCGTGGTGGGGTTTGGGCTTTGTGGGGCTACCATGACTGCACAAGTTCTCTTGCAGTATCCTTACGTTGGTGCAAAAAATGTCCCAAGCTGAGGGCCGGAAGACCAAGCTGAACCAGAGGACCCGGCGCCGAACTAAACAAGCGAACCAAGGTTCCGCCAGACATGTAGGAAACACCGGAGCCCCACCCACAACAAGGGATCTGAAGGGCAGAGCGTAGATGATGTTTGTGCGCTCTGCGCGCCAGCAGGAGCCCTTCTTTATTGGACTCCCGGGAGTTGAATTAACATTGTGAAACTTCAGGATGCCCCCCCATCCCTACGGCCTCGAACATCGTCAGGAACGTTCCAGTGAATGTCCCGTAGTATCTCAAAGCAGATGTGGGCTGCTTTTTTTCAAGTACCCTTTTGGGAGGTCTTCTTGAGATACTTAGATGAACCCAAGGGATACCTGCGGCAGCTGTCATCGGGCTTTGGGGTTGCACCGGGTTGCAAGGAGGACCAACATCTGGCCTGAAGACTTCCCTCCTCTCTTCCAGGTCCACAGACTCATCTTTCATGTACGGCCAAAGAACTTGGCTCATGACCTCGCCCAGGACGAATGCGTTTCATTGCATGTGCTGGTTGTACACTTCTTCACGATCAGGTCAGTATATCCGGGGCTGCCACCATACCCGCCATACACTGCAGCACGACGATGAAGCTTAAAGACCAGCAAAGTGTGTTGAAGCTGGCCCTCACACACTTGAGCAGCATGATGAGCGACGACATTCCCTGGCCACCAAGAGCTTCAGAGGGTGGAGAAGCAGGTCAAACACCAGTACAGACACACCTTCCCTCAACTGAAAGCCTATGGGTGTATTTTCGAAAGAGTTCACCACCCCCCACCCCTTTCCCCCTCCCCCCCCCCCCACCCCCCCCCCCCCCTCTGCCCCCCCCCACCCCCTTCTGCCCCCCCCCCCCCCCTCTGCCCGCCCTGTCTGCCATGTTTCCCCCCAACCCATCACTCTGCCCTGTGGTTCGTCGTGGGGTTAATGCGGAGCGCGGACGCATGTATGTGCATTTACCACCCAAAAAAACCTCTAAGGTCTTAGAGTCTTAGGTTTATACATTGCCAGCACCAAGGCTAGAAATCAGCGTCCTCGGTATGTCGAACAACTCTCATCGCACGTGCCACTTTCCCCAGCCGCAGCATGCGCATGAAGACTGTGTCCTGAGCACCATGGGGGAGGTCTGAAGGTTTCAGCTTCCGTTTTGAACTTCAGGTGTCTGAATCATACCACAGGGGTACACATCTGCATGGACAGGACCTCAGGCGATTCTAGCACAGCGCTAACACGAATCTTGTGCGCTCAGGCACCGTCGCCGAAAAAGCTCCAACAAATCTTGCTTAAGTGCGTGCGAAGCACAACTGGAATCAAGTCTTGGAACAAGATCTCAGTAACGCTGCAGAGGACGACCACGAGATCCAGCCAATTGAACGCCAAATTGAAGAAGCGCAGCCGCAGGAAGGTGAGGCGCAGAACGATGTCCACCTCAGCAAGGGCAGCATCTCACAACCCTCACAACAAGCCCTGTGCCTTCAACGGTGGCAGCCATCGGGCTAAAGCAACTCATCTTGCATCCAAAAGCGGCCACGAAGGCGATCGTGAAGACCAAGTTGATGGTGTAGAAGACGCTCTCGGCATGCGGCCAAACCTCTGCGACTGTAAAAGGGTTTAGGGTTCAGGGTTCAGGGTTTAGGGTTCAGGGTTTAGGGTTTAGGGTTTAGGGTTTAGGGTTTAGGGTTTAGGGTTTAGGGTTTAGGGTTTGGGGTTTAGGGTTTAGGGTTTAGGGTTTAGGGCTGTTTTTGGCAGTCTAGATCAACACCCACGTCTGCCCTTGCCTGGTCCGGGCTGCCCTCCATCCTGCGGTAGTCCAAATTGTGGCCAACCACGTAGCCTCTGCGGGCTTAAGGGTTAGGGGAAGGGTGTGTAAGGTTCAGGGTTTCGCGTGGGCTGTCTCCGACGTGCGGCGACGGGTGCTGTGTGTAGGGACGCATGGGCCGGAAGTCTCTGCAGCTTCTCAGAGACCTTCTACCCAAAGCCCAAACTTTCCACTTCAGCTTCCATACGTGCTGGTGTTGCAATGTGTCCTTTAGGTTTTTTGTGTGTGGGGCGGAAGGGGTCACGCGGTTAACTATTATTGCGAATCAGAACCAGGCTTGAACGGGGACCGCGCCTTGGTACTCGAACTCAATGGCCATGATCACCGAGTTCACGATGATCAGGAGGCCGATGGTGATCTCCTGGGAAACTACAATGAAACTACACTGCACATGAAATAGACAGTGCAAACTTCAGGACTGATTTGGAGGCAATATCTTGGTACCCGTGTTGATAACACTCCACACCCTCCGAGGCTTAGAGCTCACGTGCTGACGTAGCGTACCTGCTGTAATTGGCCAGGGCGCGTAGACATCACTTTCCAGGCGACTTGCGCAATCGTGCTTCTTGGTCATGGCAGCCTGTAAGCCGGCGCGCCCTGTACCAGCTTTCGAGCTCTGGAGAAGCGGCCCCGCCTCGACCTCCGCATCAATCTTTGCAATCATTTTCGTGGTAGCAGCGCTGCCCATGACTCCCGCTTCTTCACGGCCATTGTGCTCCTGAGCGTGTTCGACAAAGGGATCTCCTCGCCTGTTCAAGGTACCTAGAACAAAGCTCTAGCCAAGGTGTTGCTTAACGAGTAGCAGTGCCGACCTGAAGAAACGCTCCCAACAATTCTGCAGTGCTGTTTCCCGTCTATGCGGCAGGGTCACTGAGGAAGCTGCTGAATGCTGCGGGCCTCAACTAGTGAGGCACTCGAAGCCACAGTCACCAACATTCGTCAACACGCACCAACATGCACCTGAAACCCTAAACAGCTCGAGGTGATGCAACAAACACACACATTCCGCCTTCCGCAGAGTGTAGCAACGAGGCCTCAGCCTGACACGCAACGTGGTAACGACCCCTTTCCTTTGGAGGGAGATCCTTGTTTAGGGTTGCTTGCTATGAAGATGAAGCTACGGAAGCTTGGCACCCAAATAGACAGGGGTGGGCGCCTGCCATTTGCAAAGACTCACATGATGGGCTTCAGAAAGATTCATGTGCCTTAAAAGTCAGAAGCCTCTACCCTGCCTCTACCTATACTTCATGACGTAAGTGGATTCGTCCAATCTGGGGTTGTTTCAAAACTGGGGTCCCCTGGTCCCCTGACAGACCTCTCTTGTTTATCCTGCCAAAGGACTCCCCTAATGTAGAACAAACAGCCTGCGTCTCATGCTAGAGCCGCCCCGAAACACCCCTGAACCCTGAATGGAGACCAAGAGAGCCGGCCTGCTGCTCCTGACAATGTTCAGGGTCGATGACGGCTGACATCGCCTGAGCAGCTCTGATGACGACGTGCTTGCCTTGTCCACATGTCGTACAGAGGTCCAAACTCTTTTGCGAAGTTGAAGGCAGCGCCAAGGTGGTGAATACTGTGGTAAATCTGTTGCTTCACTCACTCGACAGACTCATCCGAGACTCAAAGGTCTCGTGCAGCTTCGCCGAATTGACAACGCCTCGCAACGCACACTGCACGGCTACAGCGCAGTCACAGATTCATTGCACCTCAAACTACAGAAGCAGCGATTCTGAATGTCAGCGAAAACCAGGCCAAAACTTCTTGATCACCCACCACCTGCTTCACCAGAGATCTTGTCGCCAGTTCCCACGATTCTGGCCATTTCAGATCTCAGCAGCTTGTTTTCGTCACTCAGAAGAACCATTTCATGAATGTACCTTGGCAAGAATGGGCGGGCAAAGGCAACAGCACCACCTTCTGTCAATCCAAAGGCTGCTTAGGGTTTAGTAGGGCATGGTACTCAGGGCTAGGTTTGTGGGGCATGCGCCTAGGAGGATTGCAGCATGGAGCTTCCGCCGAAAAACTCGTGGCTTCTAAGAACGCCTAAACCCTAAACCCTACACCCTAACACCTGAACCCTGACCTCCAAACCCTAAACCCCTAAACCCTTGCCCGGTGGCTGCTCTTCCAGTCTCCCCAGCAAGGCGCGGAACTCGGCGAACTCCTCCTCGCAGGAGAGACCGCGATGAAAGCCTTGGTTTAGGGTTTGGGGCTCGGGCTTAAGGCTAAAGAACCAAAATCAGCATCCCAAACCAACCTCTAACTGCAAGACCCAACCCGGAAACCGAGTTACCCGGGAATTCGAGGCTGCTGAAGGAACCCTTTGTTGCTAGTTTCCTAGAAATGCCTTTGAAGGAGCTGCCCCAAACCCGAACCATAAACCTCGAAAGCCCTAACATCTCAACCCCAAGCCTGCTCATACCCTGAAAACCCTTCTATCAAAACTCGTGCGAATAAAATGACCAAAACTCCGGTAGGGGGTCGAGCGGCTCGACGGCGAGCTGAGCAACTCAACCGAATTAGTCACAGGCCGGTTAACGCCTCCGAGCGTCGATTGGGTTTCAGGCTTGGGGTTGAGGACGTTGTGACAGGCTCGTGCCGGAAGCGTTAATACTTGCCCCCTCAACAGGTAGATCGAAACGTCGCAAAGTGCATCTGTCTGAAAGGGTTGAAGACTTCGGATACAGCATTTTGGTGGTAGGGTTTCAGCTTGGGATAGCTTAGGGTTTACAGTTCTAGGGTTTAATGCCTTTCATGGTCCAGTTCAATTTTTCGAAGTCCAGCCTTATGCTTTGAGCCCACACCCTGTGACGACGATGAGACATCCTTTACTTATAGGTTTCGGCCACAATTCAGGCCCACGAATGCAGGAGTCGCCTTCGGAAAGATGATTAAGGCTTGAAGGGTCTGGGCGAGGACTGAACAGCAGACATGGCACAAAGAAACCCACAAAGGAAACTCAGCCCGATTCGGAACGGCTGCCTTTGGGCCCGAGGTCATTCGCCGCCCGGGATCCTGCCTCTCCTTGCAGCCAGATTTGAGGATCCAGGGTAGGGATCAGGCTTTTGGTAAGGGGGTTGGCTTGCATTTGTTTTAAGGATTGGGGGCATTATAGGGTTCAGTGGAAACGGCTTCAGGGATTTGTGCTCGTGGAGAGATCCTATCTCTCTCACACACACACACCTTTCAAAAACCAAAACCCTAACCAACTCAGCTCCTATTTGCTTGGCACTCTCTTGGTGGGACCCCTTTAATCATGGATTCTTGGCCCTCAGGTCCAAAAAACTTTAGGGTTTCAGGACGGTTGGGCTTCGCAGCTGAAGTTTTTTCTTTGAAGCTTTTGACATTTAGGGTTTGAAAGCTTTACGAGCAGGGTTTCTTGAAAACATGCCGAAAGCATGCAAGCTCACGCAAGCCCAGCAGCCGCTGCAGCCCAGTTCCAGAATCACAGGGCTCGTAATTGGACTCCCGATCGAGCTACGCTCACCCATGGACGGAGCCATGTTCCGGCTGGCTCAAGCGTTAAGAATTCAGGGTATCTAGCCTCAGCCCTGTAGATAGAAGCAGGCATAGGCATCGCGTACAGTAGGACTTGGTGGCTGCTGCTTTACACCACTGAGTCAGGTGTCGAAATGCAGACAATGTAAACGTAACCAGCACACGCCTCCCTACCCTGGCTTCTTCCGAGTAGCCTGCGCCGTAGCTCTTTCCAACATGTTACGCACACGTTATGGCTGCTGGACGTTAGCCAAAGCATGAAGCGCCCAAGCTGAGTCGAGCAACTCGGACTGAAGTCTCAAGTGAGGCCACCCCACCCCCTCCCATTGCCCTGCAGCAAGTTCACATGAATCCGGCATCTTGGCGTGCCGTCGTCCAGCTTGAAGCTAATGATGCAGCGCCGTATCTCCTGTGCACCCCAACTTGACGTGCCCATCTGTGCTTCCTCTTGCCAAGAGCCTCATGTCTGTCTAGAGAACACCGGTCATCAACTCTGCAATACTCATGCATGAGGTCCTGCAGATCCATGTCGCGATTACTTGCCCATACTTGCAGAACTCAGAATTTGTCTCCCTCCCCCACATTTCCAGCAGTCCTCCTCCGTCTCGCTTTCCGCCTTGCTTCTGTGAAAGACGCTGTGCTCTGGATTCTTGTTTTCAGGGGGTCTGGGCCAACAGGCCACATGGCGTTCTCTTGGCAAGGCCTGTCGGTCGGGCGAGTCTGCGTGAGACTGCTGAGCGGACGTCGTAGAGGCCAACCAAACCCACACAACCTCTAGCCTCAGACGGTATGTAGTCTGAGTCTCAGACGATATGTAGTTTTCTGCCTTGCAAATCTTTGGTCCCCTGCTTCTCTTTCAGTACTGTCCATTGCCCTGCTTCTTCTGCGTGGTATCTCCCTCCCGTTCCTCCTTCCGATGGGCTATGAAGAAACCCACGCGCACTCAAGACGCACCGTCCAGTTCGTCCGACCTGCCTCGACGGCACTCTGGCTTCGAGGTGTCTGCCCCCGGTTACACCCTCATGAGCCTCCCCTTCTCTTCGCACAGACACTGGACTGGACTCAGTGCAGGCCATGTGTGATTCCTTCGTTTCCGCAACGCTAGACTGGTGCGCACCCTTCTCTCAAGACAAGCGCAGTCAGACCCTGCAGGGATAGCACAGCTCCTTGAACTTAGAAATGAGAGAGCATGAACGGAACCCACTCTGCGCTTTTGCCCTGGATCACTGCAACACTGAGATTGCCACCCAGATTGGTGGCCGCCCAGTCAAAAGCTGGTAAACCAGACACCTTGTTTGGATCCAGGTCAGAATCTCGGCAGAGCCCCTTTCAAACCTTGCATGAAATGCTTGCAAAGCCCTCACTCCCCAGATAGATTTACCGTTTCGACGTCCTGGCTAGCAGGATTTTGTGCACTTAGGGTTGAGCCCCAGTCCTTCTGCAACCTACTCAGCGGGTTAGGGCTTAGGGTGGATTCGGAAGTTCAACCCGAAAACCTAAACCCCAGAAGTAAGGGTCCATGCCCCAGCGCCCAGGCGTCCGAGGCGAGGGAGGGCATTGACCCCCGAACCACCTGACCGGGTCTGGGGTCCAAGGGGTGGTGAAGGGCTGCTGTGTTCTGAGACTTTGATGGCTTTACTTAGGATGCTGGCGGGCTCGGGGGCTCGGGGTCTCTTCTACATGGCAACCGAAGATTTGAAACCACGAGAGGCAGAAGACTTCTTGTGAAACCTCTGCTTGGATGTACGCGCCACCAAACCCACCCTGGATCTAGGGCATATGGCGACAGAATTCTCGGCTTGACAAGGGCTAGCTGGGAATTCTGGTGTCTTTGCCGTATTCTGACAGGGATAACGACCACATGCTGACATGCAAACGGAACTCGAAACAGCTGTAACATGCTGGTCACAGATCTGCGCAGCAGATCTCCTGCCTCTGGAGGCAGGTACAGCATGGTGCCCTCAACGCGGTTGTCTTCGGCAACAAGCTCCTCCTCACCCCTGGCAAGGCTTAGGCTACTGTAGCCATGGCTTAACTGCGCAAGTACAAGTATCACTGACTGCTGTCGTGCGCACTCGGTCGGCGAAGCTTCGGGGGCATCCTGGCACAGGTCAGCAGTCGGACAAGGAAGCCAGCCAAACATGCTTGCAGGACACTATCCTACAAGCCTCCTCGGCGGTGTCCGATCCCATCGCGCGAAAACAAGATTCGACAACTGACACCTGCCCTGACCCGATACCCGCGACTCACACGACTCCCAGGCGTCCTGTGCTTGCCAATCACCGTCGCGGAGCCGCTTCAACAGCGCCTGCCGGCAGCGTGCGGAGGCCTGGCATGTCCATGTCAAGCAAAAGCAGGAAAAGGAGTGCAGCCTGACATTCCCTTCATGGCCCTAAAGCATGGAAGCCATGCAATGAACACCACGTGTTCATGCAACTTTTTTGTGTGGGCCCGGCGAGTTGACAAGTCAAGCTTGGGACGCCGAGGGCCGTGGACTCACTCATGGAAGTCACGGCCGCCCCTAAAATGACATGAGAACTCTGGGCGACATTTGCCGCCAGACAAAACTCCTTCAAGAGCTGCCCATGGCAAAGCGAATAAAGCTCTTGGCGTGCCCGGAGAAGTGCCCGGTTTTCACCAGTGCTCAGGTGGCGCTGGCTAAAGGCCGATCACTCTGCGAGCAGAGAATCAGAAACCGAAACTGTACAGGGGGGTGACTGCTAGGCAAGCGACTCGAGTATGTCGCAATTCGTACTTCAAGCCAAAAAGGCCATCAGACATGTCCCAGCGCTCAGCAGCACACTGAGAATGGCCTTATAGTTGATCGAAGGGCCAAGATGTTGTTTCACGTGTCTCCTCTCTTGCATTCCAAAGCCCTGTACTTGAGCCAAGCGGCTCCGCCTGCATCTGAGGAATTCTCCTCCTCCTCCTCTACCATACGATAGCGACAGCTGCCTGAGCAAGAGAGCGGCGCGGAGGATCACAACGACAAGGTCGAGGATGCAACCGTCCGATTGTTGCTATCTGTCGATCGGCTCCCCCACTCTTCGAAACATGCGCGCAGCTGGGCAAACCAAACAAACAATAGATGCCCCAAAGAGCCGTCGCCTGTCCGGTGATGACAGCAGCATTTGCACCAGCAGGCCGTGCCATCGTCCGGCCCGCAACCCGCACCGCCTTGGCCTGGTGGTGCACAAGGGCTCAGGATGGTTGAGGGCCTTTTTGCGTCTTTGGGGATGTGTAGAGGTATTGCCATGCATTTTGTAGGTTTCAGGGTGGTAAGATACGCTTCTCTCTCTGCCCAGGTGCCCACGAAGCCACAGTAGCACTGGGAGACGAAGGATGGCAACCCAAAGCCTCCCGAAACAGAAGATGCTTGGGGGTTTCTCACCTCTAGCCTTCTAGAGCCCGTCCTTCCAGAGGGCAGCTGTCTCCGGACACAATGCCTGCGCGGGTTTTTCTGCTCAGAGGTGCAGTAGGTACAGGCTCTTCTGGAGATTTGGCCTACAGATGCAGGTAGCGAGGAGACACCTCCAGATTCTCCAGGGCTGCTTGTCGTTCCTGTCCAGAGCACTGCGCACATTACGTTGCAAGCTTCGATCTCTACAGCCTACAGCCAAGACATCCTGAGTCCGTGCAGTCAAACGCATTGCACAGACACAACAGACATAAATTCGACACGAGAATGAATACAGATAAACATGCCTGTGTGTGTACACACACACAATATTTCATGCATGCCTAGACATGTGCATATGAAATCTGATGAGATATATTCTAGAAAGAAAGAGAAAAGAAATAAATAAATAAAGAAAGAACTAAAGAAAGAAAGAAAGAAAGAACGAGAGAAAGAAAGAAAGATAGACAGATAGAAAGAGAGAGAGAGAGAGACAGAAAGAGAGAGAGAGAGAGAGAGCGAGCGATATTAAACAAAGAAGTGTCTGTGTACATATGTATACTTTCTATAAATACATACACGTATGTATGTGTGGCACGCATGTGTGTACGTGGAAATGCATGCATGCGTATGTGTACATATAAACACACATATACATGCAAACACACATACGTACATACATAAATGCATGCATGCATACATACATACAGTACATACGGTACATACAATACATACAGTACATGCAGTACATACAATACACACAGTACATACAGTACATACAGTACATACAGTACATACAGTACATACAGTACATACAGTACATACAGTACATACAGACATATAGAGAGAGGGAGAGAGCGAGCGAGTGAGAGTGAGAGTGAGAGTGAGAGTGAGAGTGAGAGTGAGAGTGAGAGTGAGAGTGAGAGTGAGAGTGAGAGTGAGAGTGAGAGTGAGAGTGAGAGTGAGAGTGAGAGTGAGAGTGAGAGTGAGAGTGAGAGTGAGAGTGAGAGTGAGAGTGAGAGTGAGAGTGAGAGTGAGAGGGAGAGGGAGAGGGAGAGGGAGAGGGAGAGGGGGAGTGGGAGTGGGAGTGGGAGTGGGAGAGTGGAAAGTGGAGAAAGAAAGACTGAACCCTACGCAGCTCGATCCGAGGAGTCCGAAGCCCAAGGTCCAGGGCAGTCCTGCAGAGCCTGCAGACTGTGGAGGCGCAGTCCCGCTGCTTCCAGGGGTGCCTTCCACGGTACAGCGGCAGAGGTTTGGGAGGCTTTGGGATTCGAGTTGGGTGGTTTGGCCTGCAGCTGTCGTTGAAAGAGCAGCTACTGAAGCTGTTGATGTTTCAGTTGGAGAGGATGCGACGACACCTGCACCATCCCCAAAAATCTCCCAAGATGGCGACTCCAGGCCCAGTCCTTGGCCTGACCGGCAGGTTCCCGCGACGGTTCCGATGCAGGCATCTGCCAGGGACAATGTCAAACCATCCTCGGCACTCCGTGCACGTGAATCCAAAAACTTGGTTCTGAAAAGAAAGATATCCTGGGGGTGAGCCATCGCCATGATGATTTGGCTGTTCAGTACCGCAGCTGTCCGAGTCTGACTAACTACGAGGTGGGGAGAGCCGCTGCCTTTTTGTATTATGCCGGTCTGTGCCCACAGGCTCACGTTACAATAGCCCGTCAGAACCCGCCGTCCTTCAGACAAGCATCAGTAGGCCAGCTGGTACCGTAGTCAAAGGAATAGATGCCAATCTGCGGGCCGTTCGTCGCTGCGAGCATGTTGACCTGAGCAGCAATTCTCAAGGCTCATGCATGATCAACTGTGATGTTTGGATTTCAATCGGTTAAGAAGTCAAGGAAATGATAATGCCATTTTCGTGCAATACGTGAAGTTCAATCTGTGAAAGAGACTTGCACTTGATCTCGGCATGTCTCAACAGGCATGCGCCAACGATGGCCAGCGTGAGAGCTTTAGCTGTACGGGGATGGGGTCTCTGAAATTACAAAGTACATGAGTCAGCCGCGCTCCTTCAAGGATCACCCTGGCTCTAGAATCCGGATGCTGTTTCATGGAAGGTTCGGGACTTGGGGCCTGTGGCTTCTGGAGCTTTCACGGAGCTTCCACGACAAGGAGGCTTCCGCCAACCCTTCCGCACGCTTCACGCACAGCGGCTCGTCGGACTGCTGATGCAAACATTCTTTCCTAAATGTCCATTCGCTCCTTAAAACCGCTTCTCATGAGCGCGCATGTGTCCGGATGCACCGATTTCCGACTCCCACTTAGTGATCAGATCTCTCAGACTCAAGCAGGCAGGGTCCCAGAGCCCATCACGGCACCGTTCACGGCGACTTCGGCACCACCTGGCAGGGGCAGTGCCAAGCTTGTAGATATGAGATACGACAATATTTATGACATTTATGACTATGGGCCTGGGGGGCAGGCAA